TTTTAAGATAATGGCTGCATCATCTTCCTTTATTATTTGCAATTTTTTTAGTACTTTATATGATCTACCGCCAAGATGCAAACCTGTATTGACACATGCAGTGCTGCTTCAGGCAAGACATGCGTCCTTACCCCAATGCAGCAAATTTCTCCCTTTCATGTCCCTGTATTTTCTTTTACGAAAATTATTAATTCTGTTGTATGACTTTTTGGGATGATGTTATCTTTTGCAGCTCTCGAAATGGTGGTAGAGGTATCAAATATGCGAGCTTCACTGCTCAGTGCCTATGATCAAGCGCAGAAAGACATGGACACCGCCCTCAAATAATCAGTGGACGGGTTTCTAATTCTATATCCCCAGTTGTTACATTATGGGTGGCGTTTCTCCCTTTCAAGTAGTCAAAACAAATTGATTACCGCCATATGATTGAATGGGAGTCGGACAGAGCTCTAATTTTCTGTTATCATAGTTTATCTGTTTTCTGATATTTGTGTAACAAGTCATTAACCTTAGCAAACTTAAGAAGAAAAGAAAATATTTTCATAGTTCAAATCTGGTGCATTTTAATAGTCTGTTAACCATGCTGCTTTGTCTAAAGTGAACAATTTCATTTGGATCATTAAGCAGCTACATAAACTTCAGTTCATGACTGCATAAAGGTCTAGCAAATTTTGAAAGTTGAAACTCTCTATTCCCTGTAATTACATTTGTTTCGGCCAAACACAACTCGTCATGCTGCCGTGCTGTCACGAGCCTATGTAGTACAATTTAGCTTTTAATCTGATCCTCTACTTGGCCTGGTCAACCTTAGCAAACGAACTCGATCTAACTTTAAACTGCCATAACGCCACTTCCATATGGAAACTGGCTATAATGGTAGCCGCGTTAGTTTTTCATAAAACTCGTGTTTGCTGATGCTAGTGTAACTTTAAACTGCCATAACGCCACTTCCATATGGAAACTGGCTATAATGGTAGCCGCGTTAGTTTTTCATAAAACTCGTGTTTGCTGATGCTAGTGTAACAATTCATTGACCTTGGCAAAGTGAAAGAGAGAAGAAATGCTTTTCATTGTTCAATCTGGTTTGTCTAAAATCCTCCTCTGAGTAAGATCTATTGTTGGACTGCTCTCTGTGCCCGATCTGTTTTATACTTCATAGCATTATCAATCAGAATTCTGTAGCAGGACTCAAATCGATGTTAATAAAACAAAATTATATCATCTATATTTCCAAAAAAAAAATGGTCGCTGTCTATAAACCTGTAGAGGCTGCACAAGCACAATGCTGCCAAGAAAAAAAAAAAGAAAGGTTCCAATTCTATGATTCTCAATTTATCTTGCGATTCTTTTTCTCCCTGTTTTCTTGTTCTACTATCTTTTTTGAGTCCTTGAGCATCCTCATTCCTAGCAATTTTGACCTCTTTCCTTATTCCTCGAGTTGCTTCTTCAGCAACATTCTTGGGAACAAGGTTTATCACATAACTTTGAAACTTATCATCATAATCAGATGATGATGAAAACGAACAATTCCTCGAAGTTTAAGCCATTGCGACTTTCTTTATCCACTATGGTTTTCGCCTTAATGGACCGATGATTTCTTATGAGTTATGATGCTTTAGTTTTGCATGTTCTTTCTCAAATTAATTTGTAGTTCAACCAACAAATTATCCTCAGGAATGAATGTCTCGGAAGGTCCAAAATAGAAGCCATTACACGAAGCATTTGCATTCTCTTTACAAGGCAAACAAGACATGGGTTTTCTCTTGATCGAATGTTTCTTTTAGTCCGTGTCGCTTTAGCGTCTAATACTCCACGATTCAGAAACAGCTTTTGAGAGTAAATCTTGAAACCTGAATTCTAGTTTGATCAAAGAAAAGCAAGAACAAATTGAAATTTTATGTGGAGGTTCCATAATATTGCTGCGTTTTCAATTGAGTAAAAATAGAAATAATTATACTCAAGTTTCCATAACATTGTTAAAGGGGAAAAATTTATGGTTCAGAGATT